TAATAAATATATATATTTTAAAAGGGTGTGAGATACCTTTCTGGGACCACTACAATGTTAAGGACAGATGGGCTTTTGAGTCCAGAAGGTTCCTTCATCGGGCTGGGCACTGCAGAATTTCATGATGTCAGTGTGAGGAGAACAAAATAATGCAAAAATCATTCTGAACAGATGTTGAAGTGTCTGGATCTCAGTTAAAATAATGTTCCAAGACACTGACTGCAAGAAGAGAAATATGGAAGTTAACACTTCCAGCTTGTAACACTGAATTATTTTTCAACAGTATTTCTTTTTTGAATTTTCATCATGCCTATATGGCATGGTTTATTCCTTGTTTTTAAGCACCTATATGCCAGTTGTGAAAACATGTGAACACTAGTGCAAATGCATACAGGTCTTGTATATTTAAGGCCAACAATGCATTCAAGTCATTACAGTACTCCAAAATAAAGCATTACAGATAATACTGTATTGTGTTACTTCCAGCCTTGGCTCAGTATAAAACACATGCTAAAAAAAGATGAATGACTTAAGGAGTAGAATCCTTTTCTGTTCATGTAAGAAACTCGAAATTGCATAATTGGTATATGTGATAGTCACAATTGTCTGTCATATGCTCACATACACTCAGCTCCTGCACTCAGTCACACAACCAGAAACACAAGATATGGTAGAAAACAGCAGAACTTGCTTACACAGTTTTCCTCACACATATATCTGGCCAAAAATTGCAAAGTATTGTATTGGCATTTTATTACACTTTTCACTTGTAGTCTGAACTCCTATTCCTTTGTGTAGTAAGGACAACCAGAGTAGGCCCACTGAATCAGTGAAACTTATTGAAAAGTTGACTCACCAAATCCCCGCTGACTCAGTGGGCCTACTCTAGTTGCAACATATTAGGCTAAGCAACCGTATGTCAAACAGAATGCCAAAAAAACTTTTTTCAATCAGGCCTAGTCAAATGATTTTCAAGGACAGGAAGTGGGGGAAATGAGAGATGAATGTGAACAGTCCATTAGGATATAATTTAGTTAAACTGCAAAAAAAATCAAATCATTCTTGATTACTACTCCATTAGTGTAATTAATCAAGAGCAAGTCATACAAAATGAAATAGAATGCAGGAAAAGTCATTTCCCAAAAAACAGAAATAAGAGCTTTGACTCAGAGTCTGATTCTGGGGGTGCCAAAACTTTCTTTCAAACACATCTCACACATCATACCCTGTTTCCACAAAAATTAGACCTAACCTGAAAATAAGCCCTATGATTTTTCAGGATGCTTGTAATGTAGACCCTATCCCAAAAATAAGCCCCAGTTATGTGAAATCCCACCCTCCACCATTGTGCATCAACCAGATGACATGACTGTATTTGAATAAATGTAGATTGTTGTACATGGAAAAAACATCCCCTGAAAATAAGCCCTAATGTGTTTTTTTTTTGAGCAAAAATTAATATAAGAGCCTGTCTTATTTTGGGGGAAACATGGTCTCAAACTGGCCAGTGGTCTAACATAGCACTCTCAATTCTGAGTGGCAGAGTTTCAGGCAGAAATGGATCAGAAAATTATACACAAAGGGAGAAATGTATTTGAGAAACAGTAAGGACATGGCTATAGGTTGAGAGATTTTACATTCCAGGGCAGAATTAACGTAAGAGTAGATAGATCACAGTGAGTGGTTCTCAACCTTGAGTAACTCAAACGTCCTTGCACTATAACTCCCAGAAACCCCTGGCCAGCACAGCTAGTGGTGAAGGCTTCTGAGAGCTGCAGTTCAAGAACACCTGGATTAACCAAGATTGGTAACCACTGGTCACAATTAAAGAAAGCTTCAGTATCTTTAACATCACAGCATTCCACATACTTCAATCAATAATAAGAGTAAAGAAAACTTAATTGGAGAGTGAGGAATGACCTCTGGTGAACAGCATGAAATAGTGTTTAAAGCAATGGTTTCCCACCTTGAATCCCTATATGTTCTTGGACTACAACTCACAGAAATCCTGGCCAGCACAGCTAGTGGTGATGGCTTCTGGAGGTTTTAGTCCAAGAACATCCGGAGATCAAAAGTTGGGAACCACTGGTCTAAGGTAACAGAGGGGACAGGGTGGTGCTGAGGATAGACAGCCTCCCCCTGCCACTATTTCATTTGCTTATGTTTCCATTCAGGACCAATCCTACCCCACCTGTTTCTCTGCCATTTTGTCAGCTGCTTTTCACCCAGTAGAGAGAGCACTACGAAAGTTGTTCTGGTAGCTAGTGTTGTCAAGGCTGGACCTCAACAACACAACATATATACCAGAGGGACGTGATGCGATGGTATCTTCTGTTTGGTGCCTCAGCGACACCATCAGTGATAGACTGATCAGAAGCTCCTCATCTACCCTACCTCAAACAAACAAGTATGGGGCAAGAGTTACACTTGCCATTTTATCTCAAAGACTGGGGCAGAATTTCTGCCCAGAAGTTCTATCCTTTTGGGGAATATTTGTTTTGTGGGTTTGGGTGTCTAAGTTTAAATTATCAACTAGTTAAACCAAAGCACTCTGATTTGGTCAGTGAAAGGCAATGTGACTCTTTGCTAACCTTAAATGATGAGTGGGTAACTCATGGCATTCTACATATTATCAGACTGCAGCTTTTAATTTCTCCCACCATGGATTATGCAGGGTAGGGCTGATGGGAATTGCAATAAAAAAAACATTAGGGATGCTACAGGTTGCCCATCCCAGGCTTAAATCTTTGCAGTTCTATTCCTTCCTAAATGAATTAATGCTGTGTGCTAGCAGTGCATAATAGTGGAAAACATATACATTGCAATCAATGAACAGTACATGAAAGGCCTTTTCAGGTATTCAGTCCAAATAGGTTTATGTTGATGCATGTAAAGGCTACATATTCAAATCCTGTCCCCAGCCTCTAATTTCCTCAGTGGAAAAACTTCCCAAGTTGGTTAAGGAGATCTGAAGAGAGCTTCTCACATTGATTTGGAATGAAAATGAGCAGAAGTATCCTTCAGACCTTTCCCTTAACAGGAAAATGATGGAGGGTGTGGAATACATACAGCCCTTTTCATTGATATAGCCTGTTTTTGGCATAGTGAGATGAAGTAAATGTGCATTTGGGGTAGGACTAATGTGGTTATCAGGTTTTTATTTCCTTGCCAAACATCCTGTATCTAGAACATGGAACCTTTGGCCCCCACAATCTCTTTCCACTGGCCATGCTGAGCAGGGCTAAAGCATGTTGTAGGCTGAAAACACCTGGTTGGCCCACATCCCCACCCTGCCGTGGTTATCCTGGCTAATGCTGAGAAGAGTTACAATCCAACCACAACTTATTCACCCACCTTTCCTGTCTAAGGGAGAAAGGCATCCAGGTATTACAAACAGGCATTCCTGTGTCTGTGATCTTGCATTCTCACTGTGTTTAGAAAAATATGCCGGAAAAATGACACTTCTGAAAGTATGTAAACCGCATCAGTTTCCTTGGATTGGCTATTCTTGTGTTGAGACTACCTGGGGCAGGTTGGCAGCAGTGGGAGAAAGGCGGACAGGCAGTGGGGTACAGCCAACCTCCCTGGGCACTGGGCAGCATGACAAGAAGTTCTAAAAGGAGACATACATGCTGCCCATTGCATGGACAAGAACTAGGCTGATGTCGGCCAAAGTAAACCACTAGTTACCACACAGCCCACTTTTAATCTGCAATGCTAGAGTACACTCCACTGAGCTTAGTATAACTTACTTCTGAGTAGGCATAGCTAGTACTGCACTGTTAGCAGCTTTGTAGCAGGGCAGTAGTTAGGGATATGTAATAAATATATGTCCTGACAGCAGTTTATCCTATAATATTTGATGCTGCTTTTAATGTGCCAGGCAAGACTCTAGTCTATAGATGACAAGCTGAAATATAAATAGGATACATGTTCCTATCCTTACATTGTTGGGTTACTACCTGCTTTGCACCTTAAAAGACCTCTTCATCAAGAAAGGAGGTCCAAAAGTAATCTCAGGATTGGGGGTGAGGTTGAAGATATTCTGACAATACTCATTATGTTGTGCATGTTTATTGATATTCAGTAGAACATACACTGAAATAAGAACAATTAGAAATGCAGTTTCAGCATTCTTTTAAAAACTGCAGCAACAATTTTTTTTACTGAATATTCCCCAGAGCAGTTTCTCTTTTCTCTCACATCTTCTTTGCAGGTATTACCAAAAGGGGTCAAACCAGGCATCTGATTTTTTAAAAAAGCATAATAAGAGGGAAACAAACTGTTACTTACTATATCACTGTGTTTTTTTTTTTAATTTCTACAAACTGGAAGGTAAAAACCTGGGTTATGAATTCCTGGGTCAGTGTCAAATAACTTGACAGAGCTTGGGTACATACATGTTATTGGGGGGAGGGGAAATAATTGTTTTTTGTTTTGGGCTGACCCTATCAGAAAAGGATGGAGAAAGAGAGAAATATAAGAAAGAAAAGGAAGATGCAATGCATGCACAACTCCGTTTGCCAAAGCCTTCAGAAATACTGCAAGTTCCTCCACATTTTTTCTGGGGCTTCAGAATAAACTCTAAATAACCCCTGGCTAGCCCATCAAAGCACTGTGGGATTAAAGTGGACCTGCCTTAATGAAGGATGTACAATAGTATGTTCTTCAGAGTAGATTTCAGTTCTGCCCAGAACTACCAGAGCAAAAAGTCTAATGATGGATCTAACAGCTGCTTTGCTAAATTTAAGATTTATAAATGTCACACGTAATCAGCCATCAACTTAGATAGTACAAGAAGAGGTGCATTTTCACCTCTAAATATAGAGTAGAAGAGCAACATTTTCACTGCTCAGTTATAAGATTTATACTACTCCCTTTCCCTACAAAATGAATTATATTAGATACACATAGTATTTCAAATACCAGGCACTAAGGAAAATATGTGTTGGAAAATATTTTGATTTGTACAAGTGCGTAAGAAGAGTACAGTCTCTTACCTGATTTTCTTTTTGAGGATCCATAATCCCTGAAAAAAAGGCAACAACAGATAGACATGGTTAGGTCTTGAAGCATAGAAGAAAAAGGCAGTCCCCAAGCTTCTGCCCACTTGCTCAAAGGCACATTGGGGGATCCCTCTTCTTTAAACGAGAGCCTAGGACCACAAAGCATTGACACACACACACACACAGCCGGTGCTGCACCCTCCCTTAATCAGCAGCAGCTGGTGCTTCTGCAGCAGTAGAGTGTAAAAAGCCCATGTGATCCCCTAAAAAGAGCCGACCATCCACACAAGAGGGGGAGGAGGATGTCAATTCTTTCTCCTATTAAAATCTGGCTTCAGATAATTTTGGTACAGGCTTAACCCATTACTATTTTCCTCTAAAAGGAAGGCACAAGAAGGCTGGCTACTCCCTGCAAGGTTACTGCATTTGCATTGTTAAGCAACATTTTGCAATGCTCTCACAGTCCTCTGGTTGGTTTCAAACGCAGCTTGCCATCTGCATAGCCTGCAGCTCTGTCTTTTTTCTTTCTTTTTTCTTTTTTTGGTTATCTCTACCTAACACTTGCTTGTATAGGAAAGAAAAAAGAAAATGCATTTCTTTTTTCACATAAGGAAAACAGAAGTGCTTTTTTTTTCTCCCATTGATTAAAATCTGTGCTATAATGGAATTATTCTTTTGATTGCAGGAGTCCACTATTTACAGGGAAGATGCTAAAAATAGGGATACCCAATCATGCAGAGCAGCATAGGCAATCCTTAATGAGAAGTATGAATGGGAAATCTTGATGGTTTCGCTCTCTCCCACCTTCACAGTTTTAAAATCTTGAGGGTTTTTTTTTCTCTCTCTCTCATTAAGATATTTCATAAAGACCCTCTAGGTCTTTAAGAAATGGCTGAAAACTGAATTTTTAAAAGTGGCTTTTATTAATGGCCTGGGATTTCAAGTCATTCAAATATTTATTTTATTTAGAGTTGGATTTGCTTGTTGCAGGGGACCATTTGTTAATATAAATTATATGTTTTATTTTGAGTTTTGCTTGAATTTACTGTTGTAAATCACCCAAAGAGCGCTATGCACTATGGAGTGGTATACAAAATGGATGGATGGATGAAAATTTTGGTGAGTTCCTATGAGAAACAAATGAAATGAAATTTTCAGCAATCTTCGCTGTCCAAATTCAACATGTCTGTCTTCAAGAAAGGAGAATTATTCCCAGCACAGAAATGACTACATTGTAACTGCATGCCAGATTAAAAAAAGATGGCAGCTCTAGTTCAGGGTTTAAAAAGCTAAATACTCAGAGCCCTGGTGGACACTCAGAGCCACAGGCAAATCTGTCAGTTACACCACTGGTTTTTAACCTTGGGTTACTCAGGAGTTTTGGACTGCAACTCCCAAAAGCCTTCACCACCAACTGTGCTGGCTGGGGTTTCTGGGAGTTGCAGTTCAAAAACATCCAAGTAACAAAGGTTAAGAACCACTGAGTTACACTTGTCCCATATTCATGTTTTTAAAATCACATTCTTTTTTGAAAGGTCTTAATGAAATAAATGAACAAAGTTAGATTTTCAGCCATCACTAAAAGAGCTCTTGCATTTCAAGAACAGACCATACATTCTTTGATATTGCAACCCCATGTTGCTAATACTCAGGGGAAGCATTATGAGTATGGGGCAGAGTTTCAGCCTTAACATGAGAAAAATCACCAGAAGTTTACATGTCCCTGGGAGCTATTTTTAACCATTTTACTATCTTACTAGTACAGTCCTTTATTAACGGAAGCCAATATGACCACTAACCTATGTTCACTTGCATCTCTTCCCCTTTCTCCTCTGCCTGGTGCTAGCTTTGGCACTCTACTAATGAATCTGAGTCTGCATAATGCACTTTTAAAAATGATTTCTACCCAAAACAAAGTGTTTATTCAACTTTTGAAAAAAAAACTGGTACATGTGCTATATGTAACTACTACTCCTTACAGTTATTAAAACTTGTCTAATGTTTTCAAATATTTGAGGTATGTCAGATACAGCATCTAGTTATAATCTTCATAACAAGTCAACTAAGGAGGAGATTGGTCACTGTTATTCTCCAGATGAGATGTTTTTAATAATCACTTCTATAATTGTTCACCTTTGGTTGGCTAAGGATGATGGGAATTGTAAGCCCCAAACATCTGGAGAGCTACAGTTGCCCACCCTGTTCTATGTGGTAGAAGGTGAAGGAGTGATAGTGAGGAGTAGAGATGGAGAAGAGAAAATAAATGATTGCTATTTTAATGCTGCTGACACGAGCTAGGAAACAAAACAAACTAGATCATACACAGTTCCTCATGTCATGAAAACCAGGAGACCCTCACTAAGAATGCTGAGCTCTAGTTCTTTGAAGATGGATGTTGAAACCATAATTTGAACAGGATTGTGGCCTAGCAGTGTAATCCTGTATACGTCTATTGGAAAACAAGTGCCATTGACTTCAATTAGTCTTACTCTAAAATAAGTAGATACAGGATTGCAACTTTTATTTTAGTCTCATAGAAGTTAAAAAAAAGTATCAACTTTCTTGAAGGTAGGCATCAAGAGGTGCTACCCCCACTCTATATTTTAAATAATACAGATCTTGGAATCTTCATAGGTTGGGCCAATACCTTGAAAATGCAAAGTCCTATCTAATACTTGTGGCTTAAGAAGTTAAGCAACATTTTGTACAGCTTTGAGAATGCATCTCAGAGCAATATTCTTCCTCCACCCCACCCCCCAATGAAATTTCCTAGACTTTCTGGGAGGAAAAAAAGATCCTGAATGCTTTCTATTTTGCTAAAAAAAATTCTTATTATTGGCAATAAGCTCAGTAGTTGCATGGGGGGGGGCAGAGAAGGGAAAGTTCTGTGCACCCAAGATGGAAGCGGGTTTGTTTTCTTTGTTACTCAACAGCTTGTCTATATAAAACATCTGTAGCAGAGTGGGACTAATGTATACGAAACACAGGTTCTCAGTGGAGGAAGGGCACAGATGGAAGAGTGTGGTATAGCTAGTAGATTATTTCCATCTGCTTCCAATTTTTAGAAAAACAGATTTAGTGTATTCCTAGTATCAAATGGCATCGACCATATAGGCTATTGATTTATGGAGGAGATGGTAGTGGTGATGATGGTGGTAGCAGCACCTGTTTTTGGTGTCACCCTGAAAGCTGCAGTGGTTGCACACCTTGAAATCTTTGGAAACATCATATAGGAATGGGTTCTTTCTAAAATCGTCTATAAAACAGTCCTTGATTGTGATCCTTCTTTCTTGGATCCAACTTGTTCTCCTTTAAGACAGATGATCCTACTATTATACAGGTGTCTTCAAGGAGAGGCCCCTGTGGAATTCTGAGTGGACTTTTATTTTAATGTACACAGGCAGGCAGACTGTATTACAATAGTGTGCACTATGTTTATGAATTACTCTAACGCATTACTATGCAACATTCCCTCTCTCTTAGAATCTTATCCAAACACACTGTGGGATAGAGCTGTATATGTTGTACCCTAAATTAGTCTGATGCATCAGTTGTGGCAGAGTTCACTATCCCATTTCCAGTGTTAAAATAAGGTTTAATTTGCTGGTTTAATTAGCTTCTGTACACAGAGCAAGGGCAATGCAAGGGCATAGCAAACATTATTCCCACTCACCCTAAGCATTTCTTCAAAGCTTTGCTATTTGCACAGTCAACATGTAAAGAAACCCTGGATTTAACTCCACAGAAGAAAAGGTGCCAAATTCCTGCAACTCTGAAGAGAATGCTGCTTCTAACTGCATAGCCAATGTTTTCTCTATTTCTATCCGAAGTTTGAAATGCCAACTAGTAAACTTCTGCACATGGAAATGTCTTTGGCCAGTTGTCATTTAGGAACCATTGATTTACTGTATTTCCCCTTTTTGAAATAGTTCTCTCCTTTTTCTTTTACAGCATGGACATCTCAGATCAGCTTTACAAAAGAGATTAATTCAGTCAGTCTTCATCAACAAATCCATCAATCAGTCATGAACTTAACCAGCCAAAGAAATCAATTAAGGCATGGAAGAAGTTATTAAGACTAACCCATGAAACTATAAAGGCGCATGTCTGTGTACATGTTTGCAAAAAGAGCAAAGTAAGCAGAACAATACTCAGTAATCCCAATGATTTGTTTTGTGGATATAAGTCCTGACTGCTCAGTCCTTTCTTCTGCTCCTCAGAAACTTCAGGACTGAAGCAGAGTTTGAACATGGAAATATTTGTGATGTCTAACACTCAGACCCTTCCCCTCTTTCCCAAGATAAATAAACCAATGAAATAAAAGTAAGAAATATCTTATTCATTTCCTGATCTAAATTGTTGCATTGTAGACCCTGTTCAACATGAATCCATCTCTTCACAATCTGGGTCAAATTTTTCCTGTGGACTCAGAATGGCTCCCATTGTGATATATTAAACCCGAGAGCCAGAATTCCTTGCCTCCAGCAAAAACAGCACTTGAAGCAGGCAGACATTTCTGAAATCCTTTCTGTTAAACTAGACTGGGCAGAAAGAAGAGTCCAGCATAGCACAGAGGGGGTTGCAGAAGCTAGAAGCAATGCTTTCTATTGTGAGGATATTACAGAAGCCTAGTTAGATGCATGTTTACCCAGAATGAATCCCCATAGTTCAATGAAACCTAATAACTTCATACCATCAAGTCAATTCTGATTTATGGCAACCCTTTCCAGGTTTTCTAGAATGATTTACCATTCCCTTCTTCTGGGGTTGCCTGGGACACTGCAGCTTGCCCATGGCTGCACAGGCTGGTTCTTCCCCTAGAAGGCATCTTGTTAGGGATGGATGCACTATGTTGGCTACACAGGCTGGTTCTTCCCCTAGAAGACATCTTGTATGGGATGGATGCACTATGTGTTCCCAAATTTCAGTTCAGATACCTGCCCCCTTTATATACAGACTTATATCAACATTAAAAATAAAAAGTTGCTCAGTTCTCTGCCCCCCCCACAAGAACACAGAGTTTATACTTGTTACTTATCTATGTTTGCTGTCTATTTCTCCAGTGGCTCAGGGTGGCTTACAGGGCTCTCCTCCTCCACACTCTAGTCTCACAGCAACCTGGCAAGTCAGGCTGAAAGAGCATGACTGACCCAAGGCTGCCCAGTGAGTTTCAGGACTGAAACAGAGTTTGAACCGAGATCTCCTGAGAAAAAATTCAGTCATCTTACCACATGTGGTCGTATTGTCTCAAGATATGCTGGCATCCTCTATGAGGTCCTGTCCCAAGTGAGACAGGTGCGCCAATCCAAGCCCATGTTTTTCCTCCCCTTTCTTTTCTTTCCCTTTATCTCATCTACCATCCCTACACAGTCCGCCAACAAAATCACAGAACCAGTGCTCCTCTGTTTACTGGCATCAGCGGCAACAATCACCCTTAACTAATTCCTCAAAGCAGCCCTCTTATCTTTGCAGTTGGTCTCAATTCAAAACACTTTAGAGGCACAGAGCTACATGGCTGATATTCTACACATGCTCCTCTTGCACCTTGCTGATAACTTGTTCTATAATCGCTAGTCATCTCTCCCAGTACTATACATTGCCTAGCAGGTTCTAGGCTGCTTATGTTGTATTAGTTTACTGTGCAGTTCTCTTGCCCATGGTGATCTAACAGCTGGGGAGTGGCCTATTCTCAAAAGACAGACATGGAAAACAAAATGGTCCCGCAATATATCAATGATGGTTCAAAATACAAATTGGCAGCTGCAGTATATATAAAAAAAGCAAACTGTGCTGCTTATATACTGCCCAATAGTGCTTCAAGCACTCTCTGGGCGGTTTACAAGTTAATTCTGCAGGCTAAACACTGCTTCCCCTCCCCCTGAACTGGGTACTAATTTTACCGACCTTGGAAGGATAGAAGGCTGAGTCAACATTGAGCCGGCTACCTGGGATTGAACACCAGGTCGTGGACACAGTTTTGGCTGCAGTACAGCAGTTTAACCACTGTGCCATGAAATGCCACAAAATGTCAAGCCATATTCTGCATGAGGGATTGGCAACTTGTATCCCTCCAGATGTTGTTGGACTGGGCAGGTTATCAGCCCTTGCCAACATAAATAATAGTAAAGCACCTGGGAGCTACAGTGGAAGAACATGTGTCTGGCCTCAAGTTGCCCACCCCTGTCATGAACTAGAGCTCTTCTCCATTTCAGAATTACATGTAGACAGGAAACTGTATCCCGAGAGATTTCTTGGGGCACATTTTGCCATTTGGGAACTCTAAGTGGGAGGGGTAGTTGAGAAAAAGGGGGACTGCACTAAGGGTAAATGTAGCCCCTGGCTCACATCTTACCACTTCTACTGTGCACATTCTACTCAGTTCCAAAGACGTTGGTAGAAGATTGCAACTTTAGACTCCAGTCTGCTTTTTATTCATTAAATTTTGTGGGATGCTTTGGATTCACCTTTCATATTGCACAAAACTGCAATATGAATGATTACAATAACATGAAACAACATGTATTAGGAAAGGAATACATAAGGAAGGTTACAAACAAAAAGAATTCTCCAATGAAAAATTGGAGTAGTCAATGAAAGCAAGGAAATGCAAATGATGCTCCACTGAATAAGATAAAATATTGTGTGCAAGGCTGTTTCCTGCTGATTTTTTCATCTTTGAGATTGTATTACTTTCCCATATGAAGGCTGAACCTTGGCTTGATGAGTTCATCACTACATTAGGCTATAATAGATGGCAATGTGGGACAGAGAAAGGATCTGTGCCTCTTGGGGAAAACTATACTATGGAGGAATAAAACAGGAGGGTTGGGGAGGTCACAGTAATCAATTAAAACCATATGACCTCCTCCTGAAAAGGTCATCCAATACTGGAATAGGCAACAGCAATATTTATTGCTGGCTTTTTCCTGGAAAAATGAAGGACATGAGAATCTTGCTTAAGAATCATATCCCACATCTGTTTCTGCTTTGCCTTGTTTATCCCTTCCATTTGGGTATATCTCCACAGGAGATAAGAGCATTTGCCTCAAGAAAGACATACCCTGTGAAGTAGCCTAGCCTCTCTAAAAACCAGTTTTAAGTTATGTCTTGCATCAATTTCAATTGTTCTCATCTATATACTACTTACACTGAATGTAATTTTTTTAATGGCAGGAATGAGAGATAAGGGTACACAGAAGAAGTATACTGAAAAACAATATCACAGAAAGTTGCTTTCAGTAGTTGTGAAATGTTCATAGTAGAAATGCTACAGATTTCAAAATAGTATTCGTTGCATTCATTATCTAAATGTTTCTAAGACAGCTGACTTTCCATAGGAACTGGACATATCTACATTACAAGCTTAGACTTGTTTCACACCTGTTGACTGCCAAGCTGCTAACCAGTATTCTCTCAAGAACTGCAGTACAGATGGAACAGAGGCCTGAACAATGGATTTTAAAGCCTCCTCACAAGGCCCAAATCAGCAGGGCTCCTTGGGCAAAGCCTTGACAACTTAATTGGCTTCAGATAGGCTTTTATGCCAACCTAGCAGTTCGAAAGCATGTAAAAATGTGAGTAGATAAATAGGTACGAAAACAGTGGGAAGGTAACGGTGTTCTGTGTCTAGTCGTGCTGGCCATGTGACCACGGAAACTGTCTACAGACAAACACTGGCTCTACGGCTTGGAAACGGGGATGAGCACCATCCCCTAGAGTCAGACACGACTGGACTAAATGTCAAGGGGAACCTTTACGTTTACCTAGGCTTTTATAGAATGGAGACAGCTTTATACAATTCTTTTATCACAATAAGAATTATGCCAGGTCAGCAGCATCCCATCATCCCATTCCTTGAGATTCTGGCCTCCAAAACAGGGATATCCTAGAGATATCACAGGAATCGGCCCTTGTGGTTTCAAAGGATAGGCTCCTGTAGCATCATGAAAGTGGGGAAGACATGGGTTAGGGGGAGACTGAAAGTGCTGCTCAGAGAGCTAATAATGGAAATAAGTACATGGAAATATAGGCAAATATGCCCAGAATTTAGATGAAACCCAGTAAATCGGGGAGTACACCAAACCAGCTTTAGGGACAATTTTGGACTTATTGGGCAGGTAGCAAGTGCTTCCATCAGAGCCTACATCCTGCATATTCTTACACAGAGAGAGCTTTTCCTGCCTCCAGCTACTGCTTGGGCTTGCAGAAGGCTCACTGCTGGCTCAGAGGAAGTTTTTCTCCAGACGCTGCACTGCTTCTGCCAAGGTTTGTACAACCAGAAGGCTTACAAATAGCAGCACTGGCTGTCCACTCCCTGCCTTGCTTCAAATGGCAGAACAAGCCCAGCTGCATGTGCCACTAGCCCTTTCTCCAACTCCCTTCCCTCGATCTTGGCTTTCTGACATGCTACTACTGGGCAAACACAACACACATGCAAACCAACTCATACTGAGCCACTAAGCATTAACACCAGTTGGAAACGGTGAGAAGATGAGTGCCTAAGTTTAAGCAACCTCAAAAACTAAAATAAAATATTTTCTGCCATCGCATCAGTCACCCAGAGATTTGGCTCCCCACATAGAGAACTGGGAAAGCAGAGGACTTCCCAGAAACTTCAGTTGATGCCCTGAGACCTGGCAACTCTAGCTGAAACTGCCTTTTTACACATTAACCACAAAGAGCCATGTGGAAACTGAACTCAGAGGGAGACTCCCACCCCCAAAGGGAGTGATGGGGCACTGCAGACATGCTGAGTCCTTCAGCTCCATTCCAATTTAGAAAAATTAGGAAAAGGTCATGTGGTTCTTAGGATCACACAAATGCAAGGGTATGGTAGTACCTTTATTGAGCCACTTAAAAAAAATCAAACAGATTGCAAGCTTTCATGGAGGAAATCCCACTTCATCAGGCTGGAAAGTTCCCTTTCATGGACAGCGCAGGAACACTGTAGATAAGAGTCCTACTCTTGGATTACTCACACCAGCACAATGTGGAACAACAGTGGTGCTGGACCCAAACCACACCAGCAGGGTTTTTAAAACTGTATGTTTTTTTTTCAGAATGAAAATAATAATAATAATTGTTGTGGTTCAAGATTAGCTGCCTTTGTAGTGCTGAGTTCTAAACATACATGCAGGCACACACAAGGACACACATACACAGACAGCTTTTAACGGTTAGAATTATTAATATTTGTATTAATTTTTAATATTTGTATTAATATGTTTTTCTATTTAAGTTGATATGTTAGCTGTTTATTTTGTTGTTGTTATATTTAAAAATATATATTTAAAAGGGGAATTATTAATATTTATGAGATTTCTCATTTATCAACACTG